TTTGATTACTAGCAATTTTATTTTCCCATACCCAAAATAATATTACTTTGAATTTCACAAAGTTGGACATATTGGGACTTTTGCCTTTCTTTATGCCTTTTCTGTTTATGATCACATCTTTTTGTTTGTTTTTATAGTTGTTAAATGGTACAAGCACTCGTAATTTCTACAGGAACCTCAAATGCAATATGATTTATAATTAGTGGAAGGAGCACTTTGTAATGCAGTTGAGATGTATATCCCAGCTGAAATGGTTTCTTTTTTTGTGTGTGTGTGTCTTTCCCAGATTGTTCTGCCTCAACAAGACAAGTAGCCTTTAATAGCTATACTAGTGCAATACATGTCTTGTCACTGTTGGGGGAAACTCTCCAAAACACATCTTTTCTTTTGTCGAGAGTATCAGTCTCTCTTAACGCCCTGCTGAAATCCTTACGTTGGGTCGTCTGACTTTGAAGTTGGATACCGTTGCGTATATTTACGTTGGGCTTCATTTTCAGAAGCTGTCATATCACTGCTGTGAGGGGATTGCAAATGAGAGCACATGCCCCATTATTTATATGAAAATGGTCTATAGTGAAATGTTTGCACAGGTGAATGCGAAGTAAGTGTTGTCACATTGAAATTCAGTAATAAAGGTTTTATGGTATATTCGTCTGGCTGTTTGTTTCATGAGGGGGACATCAGACTAAACAAACGGTGCCTGTGTTTCCCTGCAGGCAATCTAAAATCTGTAATTGTTCTAAAAGTGTAATGTAAACACCAACCTGTGTATCACTGAAAAGGCAAGAGTTTATTCCTGTCGACTACAGATTTAGGATTTAAGTGGAAGGGCTGCATGAGAACATCAATCAGTTGTAATAATCTGCACGTAGTCATTAATGATAACATGAGCTCAGTACATGTGCTGTAGACAATTTGATGGTGTGTTGTAGCTGTGCAGCAGAGGCGTCCTGAGAAACGTGTTTTTCTATCTGACCTCGGCAATAGAGCCCGACCAATACTGGATTTTAGGGCCTATACCGATGTATAATCTATCTATCTATCTTTCTCTCTGTCTGTCTGGAGGATATTTTCTAAATTTAATCATTCTAAATTACCCCAGGCATTTTCATATCAGTGCATATTGGACAACATTAAGTATATATCAAACACATGGCCAATGGGCCAGAACCGGCCTGCCAAAGGGTCCAATCTGGCCCACTAGAAGAGGTGCCAGGTTTCAGGAGCAAGTTAAACAATTACATGCATTTGCCTACTTCATGTAAAATTCTGCTTCAGAGGCTTTTCCATCCTGACTGGAATAGAGTTCTCTGATATAACAATGAATATTTACCTCTGAGCATGTTTAAAGATATTGAACATTGTGCAAAATATTGTCAGCCAGCAGCTTCAGTTCAAAAGTATCTGTGTCAGGAAATGTGTGAATAAATGCACATGTAATGACAGTGAGAGGTAGACCGACTGAATGTGGAAAACTGAGACATACTGTTGAAACTGTGCTTATTTTTCTTATGACATCTCAGGCTGTTTATCTGTTTTGTAAAAGGATGAACATCTTCAGAATAAACTCACAATTCTCTACATTAAAAAGGGGAAATATTGGAGCTGCTGGAACTTATAAGTTATTACATGATGGTTTTATTGGTCCGGCCCATCTGAGATCAAACTGGGCTGTATGTGGCCCATTAACTAAAATGAGTTTGACACCCCTGCTGTTTTTGCTGAATCCAATATATCTCTAAGCGGCCAATATCAGCTGATAAAATCGGCCAACATAAACATAGGTTGGGCTCTACTTGGCAAGGCTGCTGGTAGCGAAAATGGAACAAGTTAGAAGTAATTTAAACTGCACCATGTGAGGATCCTCAGCTGTGGAATAAAACTGCTGAATATATAAAAGTAAACAGCTTCATCGAGGCTCCTCACAGTATTCAGCTGATAACTACCTGTATACTGATGACAGTATGTAACATACAGTGATCAGTGTCTCATTCCAGTTAACAATCATTCGGCACTTGCTGTGCTCTGTGTGAGACAAGAGTTAATACTTGATGCACTCTGCGTGTGGGACACACTAGAACATCCTGTGTGACCTCAACTAGGTGGCAAGGTCATTATAGTTAACTAAAACTAAACTAAAAATAAAACTATGTGCGGAAAATACATTTTAATTAACTAACATTACTGAAACAAGCGAACCCACTCTGGAAACTAACTGAAACTAAACTGTATTTAAAATAAAAAATAAAAAAACAAAATAAACATAAAACTACTTAAAAATACAAAACTATAATAATTCTGCTAGGTGGTATTAGTCGCCTCAGTTCAAGTCAAAAACAACTTTAGTCCATTATAAAAGAGTATATTACTTCACTTACAGATTGAATGATAAGATACTTTAAATGTCAACATGTCCACATTACTTATGATACAAAGCATTTGGTTAACAACTTGCTTGTTCCTGTTGTACCTGTGAATTATAGTTTAGACTGAACATGGTCCAATAAAGTCCTGGAGGTCTTCAGTCTTACAGGTCTGATTGTAATTCCCCTACCGAACACGTGAATACACACTATAGGAACACTGCTGGAACAAGTGGCTCATTAAGATGCCAGGCTCCTACAGTTCTGAGTCATTGATATGTCACACTGCTCCGCCGACACACCCACAATGACACTGCAGTGTGCTTTGTGTTTGGAGCTTGTGTTTCAGCCAATGGAGAGTGACACGGGATAGTAAATAGATCCAGTCCAACCCATTGGCTGTGAAGATAATTAATATTGTGTTTCTTTCTGTAATAGAATATAGCTACCATTTACAAATCAAATATTCTGACCAACAGCGTGTTCACAGAATTGGAAAAACACAAAGGTTGAGATCTCTCTGTGGTGTACAAAGGAGAGTGGATCGACAGAGAGCCACCGAATCTTTTAGTATGTTCATTCGGACACAAACTGGCATCCAGTTGGATATCAAGGTGAAATTTAAACTTCTGGCCCGCAACAAGAGACAGCATGACACGGCCAAAAAAACAAACAGAATATAAATTATTAAGAATAGGAGGTGTGATGAGAAACATGTTAAGACATTCATTTAGACTCATTGAGATGATTGGTCTCTTTGAGCTAATTTAATTTGAATGTGTCATTAATCTGAACCTGGCAGCATCAGTGTGATTAAGTGTGATAATGTTACATTTGTTATTCAGGAGCTGAAACTGAGGCATGGATGTGGCGTTAACCTTTGTTAAGAGGCTTCTGTTTTCTCTCTAGGCTATTTCATATGACTGTTCACATGATGTGAGGTAGGGATGATGTCTGCAGATCAGTATGTTCAAATTTAACAGGGGGACAGGTAAGAGAGCAGTGTGAGGTTGTTGTGTAACTTTTTTTCATTTATTTTTTACCTCTTGAAACAACTTTCTTTGTTATTTAGATATAAAGATCTTTCATTGTAGCACCCTGTGGTTTTAGAGAGCCTATTTTAGTCTGTGGTTCCTCTATGCCTTTTTAATCTGGTGTTCTCCAGTGAATTCTCCCACAAATTCATTCATAATTCTTCAATCCAAAAGACCAAAAGTACATGTCGCTGGAACAATTTGCTAGTATTTTACAGGGATTATGAGACAATGGGTCCCTGGGCACAGACATGCAAAATGCCCTAACACCTCTCTTACATAGGAGCAAGACACACAGACAGGGGTTGTTTTGCTTCTTTTTTATCTCCTTGTAGTCATTTTGTGTCTCTTTGAGGTAATGTTGTGTCTTTTTTTGATCATTTTCCCCTTTTTTGTAGTTATTTTATATCTTTTTGCAGTTCCTTTGCATTTCTTTGTGGTCATTTTGAGCCTCTGTCTGGCCAGTACGTGTTAATTTGAGTGACATTTTGCAGGTGAAGACCAAGAGGACCCCCTGACACTTTGGGCCCCTGGGCCTGTGCCCACTAGACCTGATCAGTAATCCATCCATGCTTACACAGTAGCATGGAGTAGCACTTTTTGTCACTGATTTCAATCTTGAAGATGCTCTACATTGTACACAACCTAAAGATTATGAGCAACCAAACAAAAATCACTTTACATTCAAAGTAAAAGATAAGAGATAGAGAGAAAGAGATACAGATGAAGAAATAACCAATAAAACATTTTTATTTTTTTAAAGTAAGAACTCCTGTTTCCTGTCCTGTTTGTCTATATTTGCGGTACATACATTATACAACCCACCATCATGGAGGAAAGTAACTAATTACATTGACTTAATTAATACAGTTTAGCTATTGTACTTTATTTCTGTATTCCACTTTTGTCACTTTATATTTCTACTGCACTTTATCCTTTCGTTTAAAGTTTTATGTACAATACATATGATCAGTTAACAGAATATGATGCAGTGTTCCTGATTAAACAATTAAATAAACTACAACATTAAATAGAGCCTTAAATGTTCATGAATTAGCAATACTAATCAATTTTATTATTAATTTGAATCTCTGGAGAGGGCCTTTCTGCATAATGAGTGTTTTGACACTTACCTCATAAGTTATTTTGAAACAAGCACTGAAGCACTTCCTTTCAAAGTCGTATTTTTTTTATACTGTACATAGTCATTAGTACTTCTGCTTACATAGCATGTGGATCTGAATATTTTTCCACCACTTGCTCGGTGCGAAGAGAAGTTGGACATATGTCCTTATGAGAAAGGAGAGTTGTATGATTTCTCCACAGTATTAAAGAACAGATGCTGCCTGATAAGGAGACCAAACCTTTTTTATCTGTTCAAGTCGGACAGTGCGATTATACAGTTTTGTCAAACCCATTCAAAAACAGAGACAAGCAGGGATGCGCAGGAGCATAGTGAAGTGTCAGAGTAATCTACCACGGAAACTTTTCATTGGCCGCGCCAAACCAAGAGCCCGCCCAATTGTTCAGTATCCGGAAAATGATTGGTCCATACGTTTCTGAGCCACGCCCCCGGGTGTGAACGTCACACGGGCGCTGGAACTCCAGTAAGTAGTGATGATGTTGTGGTTATCCATGCCGCCGACACCTCTCTGAGTGTTATCTTGCTCAGAAGACCGTCGGGGAGAGCCGTCCACGCATGGAGTTGAGCTCGGACTCTGCGGTGGCAGCACTGGACATGTCGCAGGTCAAAAGCAAAGACGATGAGTCTTTCGGGGTGGACGGTGACTACGAGAGCTTGCCACCTCATGTCTCAGTGGCGACCCACATGACAGCAGGAGCCGTGGCTGGCATACTGGAGCACACGGTGATGTACCCCGTGGACTCTGTCAAGGTAACGTACACACAGGCAGCCTAGCAGCACATCACACTTGTTAACCAGCACGGCTCATTAACTAACGAGCTACACAGCGCTGCTAACTGCACAGACAGGCTCCTATCGCATGCTAACGAACGTTAGCTCTAAAATGTTGCTGCCCATCCTTAGTTAGCCCCAGTGTTAGCTAATTTAAGCACGACAGCCTGTTTGCTCCAACTCAACTAACTAGTTAAGTAAGCTAGCACAAATTAAACCGAAATAAAAACACTACGTGTTAGCTAAACCGAGCACTTAGCAACAGTTTTACTTTTTTAGCCTCTGAGAACTTTGCTAACATAGCGAGCTCAGTGGGCGAACAGTGTCACCTTAATTTACCCAAGTTACTCTTTAGCAACGTTAGCACAAGTTCTTGTCATTTTGATAATGAACTCGTTTGGCTGAGTGTAAACACATGCTATCTCAAGTTTTTGTCTCAGTCAGTGTTTTTCATACAGTGAAACGACATGAGTTACCCAGACTATTAAGGTAAGTGAAGGTCAAGTACCTGGCTTGGCTGAAAAATAAGTCAAACTGCCTTTAAATGTACCTCCAATCTTAAAGAACAAACAATAGGTTTTCACCTTGTTTCTAAACTCTGTAGTGTAGTTAGAAAGTTTACCTTTGTGGCCGCCCATAGATGCATTTACCAATAAACGAAAGACATCTGTATCCCTGTTGAAATGTCCAAGATTACAAAATTAAATCAACACTATATTAAAATGGTCTCAATCTGGTCACTGACATGATCAAGACATTTGTTGCATTTATTAGATTGGATTGGTGTCATTGACAGTGCTCCCAGGAAGTACAACATTTAGCTTAATATCTAACCAGATTCTTTATTTTAAAGATTAAATTAAGACATTTTGTATAAACCAGTGGGGGTAGAAATAGTAAAAAGGTATGTAACTGAGTCATGCACAAACAAACAAGCAAATTTAGAAAATGTACAGTATGACTAATGGGGATTTTGCTGTTCTTGATAGAGAGCAACCACTGCAGTACATAGCAGAGCTGAAAACTTAGTCGATACATCAATTAGTCGGTCAAAAGAAACTTAATCTGCAGCTATTTTAATCATTGAGTCATTTTTATTAATCAAAAATGGCAATTGTTTTTGAGTTATATGTTCACACTTGAGGATTTGCTGCTTTTCTCCATTTTTTTAACCGTTGAAAACTGAACATCTTTTGGCTTTGGACAGCTGGACGGACAAAACAAGACATTTGAAGACATCTCCTCAGGCTCTTGGAAATTTGGATGAGCATATTTTCACAAATAAGCTTAAACGATGACTCAAAAAATAGTCTGCAGGACAATGAATGATTAAAGCAATTGTGAGCTGCAGACCTAATGCCTGGTATAAATAAAATGTGATTCAGATTTGGATTTATTAGTGAGGAGCTCTTTCTTCTATAATCATGTAAACTTTAAAACTTGTGTGACGTCATTCATACATTCAAACAAATAAAAACATTGTCTGAGTTGCTCTGCAGTCAAATGCCGTGGCCGTCACAGAGGTAGCCTGTACATATAATAATTGTAAATTCACATTTAAAAGGCCAGCCTAAATACTTGGCTGGAGTTCACGAACAGAGAAATCCCACCTAAATTTAAGTCTATGTGTGACTGGTGTAGCAAATCAAAACCCAAATTTGTTCGTTACGTGCCATCTTGAAGTTGAAGCCTGATGTTGAAGTTTATGTTCAGTAACTGAATGACATTATTGGCTAGTTTTGAGCTTGTTAAAAATTGGCTTGTGGATGGATAGAGAGGGAGGGTCATAACTTAAGAGAGAAATTTAATTGGAAACAATGTTGTGCTCGCACCAGTCTTAAAAGCATGTGTATTATTATTTGTGGGGTGATTTTTGTGGAGAGGACTAAAGGAAGTAATTAAACCAAGGTAAAAATATCAGACAGTTAAAAAAAAATATACAAATCTTTTGAGAGATACAGCAGTTAGGAAGGGGAATGTGATACATGATAAAGATGATATTTTTTCTTTTCATATTCTTAACAGTATTTTAATTTATTATTTTTCTTAAATGCTCCAAAGAAAGTAAGCTCAGGTTCAAGCTGCTTCGTGAACACTGTAGAAAAATGCTTAGAATTTGTAAATAAATTAAAAATAAATGCAGCAGGTCCCACTGAGAACCTAATGATGATATAATCTACACACTTTTTCTAAAAACAGACCTGAAACTGCTGGACAAATAGTTTTTCACTACATTTCATCTCATGTGTAAACAGATCCTTAAAGTTTCATCAGACCACAGCTTTGTTTCACATCTAAAATTACACTGTCTCACTGAATGTTGTTAGCCAAGCATTTTGAGTCATTAAACTTTTTAATGATACAGTCATTTTCATAAATTGTTTTACAAAAATATTTTTTTATTGGACACACAGATGCCTGTTGCATTTGACACACTTTAGTCATTGTTAACATATCCCATCTGAGGCTAGTACTGTTAAAAGTAAGATAATGATACATGTGCCAATTTTTTCACGGTTGAAAAATGAATTTGTTAATTGTCCTCTGGTATTCAGTGTCAATGCAATAAGCAACATGCCAGTTACGCAAGGAGGGAATTTTTTATATTAAACCTTCACTGTATCTTATTTAAACTTTGAGTACTGGGCTTGTGGTTACTGAAGACTTACCTATTTTGGCTGATAAGTGCATGAGATGTCTTTTATCATCAGGCATTAAGAGAGGTATCACTAAAAAAGAAGTTGAAGCCTGATGTTGAAGTTTATGTTCAGTAACTGAATGACATTATTGGCTAGTTTTAAGCTTGTTAAAAATTGGCTTGTGTCTGCAAAGCAAATCGCTAAGTGTTGGTTTGAATGTGAACTTTGCCCCCTGCAATCCTCCTCTTCTGCTCAGCCATTGTTTCCTAACAATGTAGTGTTGTTTTGATAATTTGGCGTGCTGCCCAAACAATAATCGTGATGTGGCACAGACAACTGTATTAACATACTGCAAGAAAAAAAAGATATTATATCCTCTTTTTTTCTGTGTCAGTCTTTCCAAATGAACCCATTTGCCTTTATTACACAAACCACCGCTGCCATTTCCTCTTGAGGTTTCCAGGTTTACACAAGCACCCTACAGCTGTAGGTGCTCATTCAGTTTGATCAGTGCGTGTTTGAAGTTGACAAAGAACCTGTTCTGAAATTTCTGAAGAAATAGATAAGCATGGTTCCTATATTATTTTTGTTACTTTGACAGTTGCGATGTAGAGTAAAACAGTGCATCTTAAAACATCAAAAACAGACTCCAATGCATTCATTTCCAGTATGTGTTTTATGAAGTAATGAATTAGTGTCTCTTGTCAAACCTGAGATGAGTTAAACAGAATGTTTTTAATAAGACTTGGTTCAGAAGGTAGTGGTAACAATCTACTGACCCTGTCAACCTCTATCTTTCAACCTCCCAGTAAAGAACGAGACTCAGCCAAGACTACGGGAGTAGCCTGTCCTAATGCAAGGAGGGGGATCTTATCGGTGTTTTGCACATTTGGAATCGGCCTCACACAGTAAAGGGTGTGTGAATGCAGCAGCTCATCTGCAGTGTTGATTAGTAAACCGCCACAGAGACAGGACAGATGTGACACAGTGTAATGTAGAAGATGGGAGTGTTTCCTTTTTTAGTACGCTTAAATGGTTTTGTTAGCACAGTGTGACAGTGATGTTAATACCATCTTTATGCAGATAACACTTATGTTTGATTTAGTGTTAGAAAGAAATAATCTACTTCCTGGCAGTGTACAAAAATGTTCTTGGACAGAGAGGGAGGGTCATAACTTAAGAGAGAAATTTAATTGGAAACAATGTTGTGCTCGCACCAGTCTTAAAAGCATGTGTATTATTATTTGTGGGGTGATTTTTGTGGAGAGGACTAAAGGAAGTAATTAAACCAAGGTAAAAATATCAGACAGTTAAAAAAAATATACAAATCTTTTGAGAGATACAGCAGTTAGGAAGGGGAATGTGATGCCTGATAAAGATGATATTTTTTCTTTTCATATTCTTAACAGTATTTTATTTTATTATTTTTCTTAAATGCTCCAAAGAAAGTAAGCTCAGGTTCAAGCTGCTTTGTGAACACTGTAGAAAAATGCTTAGAATTTGTAAATAAATTAAAAATAAATGCAGTGGGTCCCACTGAGAACCTAATGATGATATAATCTGCACGCTTTTTCTAAAAAACAGACCTGAAACTGCTGGACAAATAGTTTTTCACTACATTTCATCTCATGGGTAAACAGATCCTTAAAGTTTCATCAGACCACAGCTTTGTTTAACATCTAAAATTACACTGTCTCACTGAATGCTGTTAGCCAAGCATTTTGAGTCATTAAACTTTTTAATGATACAGTCATTTTCATAAATTGTTTTACAAAAATATTTTTTTATTGGACACACACAGATGCCTGTTGCATTTGACACACTTCAGTCATTGTTAACATATCCCATCTGAGGCTAGTACTGTTAAAAGTAAGATATTGATACATGCGCCAATTTTTTCACGGTTGAAAAATGAATTTGTTAATTGTCCTCTGGTATTCAGTGTCAATGCAATAAGCAACATGCCAGTTACACAAGGAGGGAATTTTATATATTTAACCTTCACTGTATCTTATTTAAACTTTGAGTACTGGGCTTGTGGTTACCGAAGACTTACCTATTTTGGCTGATAAGTGCATGAGATGTCTTTTATCATCAGGCATTAAGAGAGTTATCACTAAAAAAGAGCACAGTCCTGATATAGGGTTTGAACTGTCTGCAGGTTACTTTGTAGCCAGCATAATTTATCCTTCGTGTTATCTAGAGAGAAAACCAGTTTCATGTGTTCTTTGGCTTGAATATAAAAAATCACATGTTTGCCTCTGAACAATGTGATTTGTAATGCACCACGCCAGTCACGCAAACTTAAAACGCAAACTGTGTGCCCCAAGTTCCCAAATCTGTATCAGACGGAAATGTAATTGATATTTTATTGTTAAGCCGAAGGAAGGAAACACATGGGAACACGCTGAGGAAGATAGACTTGGCCTATCTCCTGAGCCAGCCCTAGATCTCTTCACAAATAAAAACATGCTTTGTGGCGTCCAGATAACTTGGCGTGGTTATGTAAAACAAAGAGCTGCCACAGCCGCCCACGCCAGCCTTGGGAGAGACACACATCAGTCAGTCAGGACCTCGCTGCTGCCAAGTACACTTACTGTCACAACAATGTGACAGCATTACAAGGAACAATGCAAGTAGAAATCATGATTTGGCAAATAACCGGTGCCCACTTTGAAGCCACTCTGAGTCACATACATTTGGCGTTAGTACTTTAGCAAATTACAAACAATGGTTTATCTGTCTTTATTTTTTCAGACGAGGATGCAGAGCCTGCAGCCAGACCCAAATGCACAGTACAGGAGTGTCTACCAGGCTCTGAAGAGGATCATCCAGACAGAGGGGGTCTTCAGGCCGCTGAGGGGCCTCAACATCACCATGATGGGAGCGGGACCTGCACATGCGCTCTACTTCGCCTGCTACGAACGCGTCAAACGCTCACTCAGTGACGTCATTCAGAGTGGAGGCAACAGCCATTTAGCCAATGGTACATGTTCCCACGTCTCAACACAAATCACTTGATCGTCACACTAACAGCTTTCACACTGGGCTAAGCAACAAGGCCCGGAGCAGTGTAGTTAGGATAAATCATTTTAATGCCATATCCTGTTTACAGTGGCAAGGATGGGGCTATATTCCAAACAGGACAAATCCAAACTTGCTATCTGAGATGTGTTGTGTTTTTTAGCATTTAAACAGCATGAAAAAACTGGTAATTCACCCCGACCTTTACTAAAATAAGACCCGTATCTGTAACAAATGAATTTGATGTTAAAATTCTTGAAATCACAGTCATTGACTTAAACTTGACACATTCTCTTAATGTCTTAACAGGTATTGCAGGTAGTGTGGCCACCGTTCTCCACGATGCAGTCATGAACCCAGCTGAAGGTAAGAAAAAAAATGTTGTTTGTGTCCTTCAGAGGATAAAGTTTACAATATTCTGTATATATACTAGCAAGTATTATATATGCATCCAAAAGCAATCAATGAGCCTCACGATTATTTTGATCGACATGCATACGCATGTCCCTAGATCACAGTTATTTATCACGATCATTTATAGATTTTATGGACAAAATAATTTATTGCATTTTCACATTGAAATATACAGAACACTATATTCACTCCCATGTTGTGCTACAGCCCCGCAAGTGTACAAATATTTGCACTCAAAATAATTCTTGTCCTTATTCACAGTGCATCTCCTAGAAGCAAAGTAATATACATAAAATTGTACTAAAGTCTTTAACCCCAAATTAACTCAACATAGCACTATTCTCACTTTCAAATCATGTTACATTCCTGCATCAAAATAAGATTTAAAATAAGGTTCTGAATTTAGTGCAGCTTCCATGAAATAGCAAACGTATCCGCTGTATATATGTTATTTTACAGCGGCCACCGTGATGCACTGCATTGCTGCTGTCATGAATATCTGAGTTGATGCTGGACAAGTACGGACATTAGCGGTAACGGTACAGTAAAGTCGGGGTTACTCTTCTTGGCCTTTGTGCACTCATCGCACTGCAGATTGTGGTGTTTTTTCAGGTGGTTTAACACGGTAGTTGTGTTGCTTTGTGGCGCAGACACGTCTCATGCATTCTTTGCATACGAGTTGTTCACTCCCAAGTCCAAACAGCAGATGATGGTGGTTGATTACGGATTAGCTCCCACTGCAGAGTGTACACAAAGCGGCATGACAGCTCTTCAAAAATGGAGGTAGCTGTTATTTTAGGAGGCGCTTGATTTGAAATGCAGCAGAGTTTTCTATCAGAATCAGAATCAGAAATACTTTATTGATCCTCGAGGGATTAGCGGGGCATGGCTTTTAAACATCAATAACATAGTTGATTATGTTTGTTTATTTGTGGGAAGCCAAAATCAAGATTAATATTCCATTAATATTGCAGCCCCAGATAAGTGTGTAAGATTTAGGGGGACGACGGAGACAGACATCGACACAAACACTTAAAGGAATCTTGGTGTTCATGTGTTTCTTTTAGTGACAGCAGTCAGTATAACAACTGAACAATTATTTGAACTGTACATTGAACTAAACATCAGAACATTTCTTCTTCACCATCTCCACCACCCTGGGAGCGTTTAAAAAAACGCAGATATTTTTGTCTGCTTTTCAGGTGGTTGACGCAATATATTTTCCGACATGTGCTCTCTGTCCGCTGGTGGGTGTGTGCGTGCGTGTGTGTGTGTGTGTGCACATCGGGGAAGAACTCCGCCGTGTGTGATACAGAGAGCAGAGGGGCGCCCCCCTAATATAATGGTAGGGGAAACACTGTGGTGCAACATGGCGATCTCCGTAGACAAACACCTGCCCTAAACGTTGATATAAACGGCTCACTGTAAGGTAACGAAAACACAACAATTCTTATTTTCAGGTCATTATAAACTAAGTAAAAACACTCTTATTATAATATATTCCAATTCTGACAATATATCTCCCTAAACCCTACACTCTGGACCCTTAACACATTTAAAACCTATTTAAAACAAAGAAATACTTGTAATTTTGAATTATCGTTTGGTTGAAACAGTCACATAATTGTCATGTAAATGTCTGTTCTTGCCATTTTATTTGAGATATTTTTGTCTCGAGTGCAAAGTGTAGAATCGATATAGATGTATGTGATAAACATGCTAACATGGTTACTTGTGTCTTTCCATGGCTCAGTGATTAAGCAGAGGATGCAAATGTACAACTCGCCATATCGAGGACTTTGGGACTGTCTCCAAACAGTAAGGCGCACTGAGGGTGTGAGAGCCTTCTACCGCAGCTACAGCACTCAGCTGACCATGAACATCCCATTCCAGGCTGTTCACTTCATCACTTACGAGCTGATGCAGGAACAGTTAAACCCCCAAAGACATTACCACCCTGGCACCCACATAGTGTCTGGAGCAGCAGCAGGCGCCGTTTCCGCAGCAATAACCACTCCACTTGATGTTTGTAAAACTCTCCTCAACACACAGGAGAACGTAGCGCTAAACTCCATGAACATCAGCGGCCACTTATCGGGAATGGCTAATGCCTTCAGGACAGTGTACCGGCTCGGTGGTCTGGCAGCCTTCTTCAAAGGGGCCCAAGCTCGGGTTATATACCAGATGCCCTCCACTGCCATTGCCTGGTCAGTGTACGAGTTCTTCAAGTACTTCCTGACGAAGCAGCAACCGAAACAGGCGGCAAGACCTGGACCAATGTAATGGAAATGTGTCGGAGCAACCACACCTAGACTGGAACCGATGAAAGAAGACTCCAGCCTGAAGCTGTGCGAGCTCACTGTGTGCTGTTTGAGGAAATAACAGCACTTATTGTCTCACAGGGAAGTCGTCATGGTCAAGGAGTGGCAGAGGAGGACTGCCCATTGTTGTTCACTTAACATAATCTGTGTGCATTCTCAAGTCAAGATGATGTTACACAACCAGGATATGCAGCAGAGATAACTATCCTTGGAAGGACAGATACACAATGACGTCATCTTCCTCCTCCTCCTCCTCCTCTCCGCCACGTTGCAGACTGTCTTTTCTACATGCGGAGGCCATATAATTAAGATGTCCTCAATGATGTTTATAGTTCTCGATATTGGAACTTTTTTATTTATTTGGTTAGCTTTCAGAGGCCTGTATTTTACGGATGTGGAAGAAACACAATGCTGTTTGTTTTATTTCATTGTGTATTTATTAAAAAAAAATAACAACATTACAACACATTCCTCATTTTCACTCCACAGTGAACGGAACAGTGACGCTTTCCAAGTGCCTCATAAATATAAAACTATTTTCCTGGGTTCAAGCTCTAGCAAGGAAACATACTATTCTGTTATGAGATCCAATCTTACAGCACTCTTTATGTCATAACTGGTCAAATCTGAACGAGCGTAACTGAATGCTGTTTTTTAATTATTATCTCTGCATCTAATGGTCAGATGTCAGTCTGCAGCAAACCTATTTTTGTCTCACTTTTTTTTTTTACTTTAGTGCAAAATACTATTTCCTCCCTGAGACTATTTCTCTCTGTCAGTACCAAGTTGTGTTCTAGTTATTTGCCTTGTTAAAGCAAACACTGCTCCTGCATCACGCACAATAATAGTCTCACTTAAAGAATCATACCTGTTGCAGAAAGAGGGCAGCTTTTGTATTCAAAGGCATGAATATATATTTTGAGGGTGACTATTTCTGAGAAATGTCATTATGCAGATCCAAAGGTGGATCAAACGAGGCTGTTACGTGGGAGGTGACCACGTCTCACCTCGCCTTCACATGCATTTGTACATGTGTGATGTTTAGCTTTTGAGTTGTTTTGTTTGCGTCATATTGACCTTGACTCTAAAGGTTGTAGATTGTATGTAAAATATTTTCAGAGCATTAAGTTTGACTGACTTTCTGTGATCCCAAAATGTAACATCCCAACTTTTACATTACTCTGAAACTGGGGGCATTCTGTTACTACTAGACCAGTGAAATCCTGATAGAAATCAGCTGGTAAGCAGGCAATGCACTGTCATTTATTTCCACTCATCCTGTTGTAGTTTCCCATTTCCTGTGTGCTCGCCGCTTGAACCAGCCTCTTGACTATTTTCCATTCAGTAGTCGAGACATTCCTGCAGATATTGATGTAATCCAGCGAGCAGCCAGATTTATTTATTTTTAATTATGGAGGGTTTTTTTCACCCCCTTTGGTAAAGTTCAGTGAGTTCATCAGATTCCAGCGGTCTCACAAACCCTTTAGCAACAGATTCATTATACTTGGATGATTTTTTAATATACCAAAGACATGCATTGTATTCTATGCATCTTACATTTAACCTGCAGTTATGATGCTATTTGCCCGCCTGCTGTGACTTGTCATGCCATGTTTTTGCCCCATAGTGGTGTTTAATTGCCCCACTGCTTAAACTATATCTTCTCTAGAGGCTTATTATTTGTATGTGTGTCAGAAAAGTATTTTCTGCCTCCGCATTTTCATTTTACACTCCAAAAAGTTTCATAGACTACTGAAGTACTTTAGAAAATGCAGTGAAAAATGAAAATTGTATGTTAATATAATTGTTATGAAAAGATTTCAATGTGTTTGGAAAATTACATGATGATCTGTTTTTTATTGACTGATCTGTGTTTAGACTAACTACTTGAATTCAATTGAAAATATGAGAAGGATTTCACATGAATATGAAAAAGTGTCTCAATTAAGCAATTCATAATGTTTCATTCTAATCTAAGTGTAATTACACTTAGGTGAGTGTTGCCCACATTATGTAATTTTTCTTTTTCAGTTGCATCCACTGACAAAAATCTACTTATCATAAACAAACATAAAATGAAGTCAGATTAGTTTTTGATTAATTGCATTGTACTTGCATTCAGCACTGCTTGCCCTACAGCACCCCATCATTCCTTTGACATGTCGATTCATATCAGTGAATCATGTTTCCTAAACTGTCTCAGCACCTGTGTCTAAGTACTTCTAATGTGTCAATGTCGTGTTTCTAATAGATACGTACATTTTAAAGGCGACAGCAAAGCTGATATATTCCATGTGGGGTTTTCTATAATGTAAATAGTTTAATGCTAATTACGCACAAATGATTGAAATGGGGAGTTGGGATGATAGAGTGCCATCTCCAGAGCTGGAGTTCTTGGAAGTATGACCATGCAAATATGAAATGATTGTGATGATGCTGCTACAGTATGTAACACTGGAGCTGAAATAAACATGCAAGTGATGAGTGCTGTTGTTTTTGTGTGTTTTCTCTTAACTTATTCAGTATTAACTTTGATTCTCTGTATGGCCTGTCACAGTCAGTCTTTTAGATGTTGGGGAACATATTGGTTTTTATTCTCTCAGCATTAAAATACAGCCACCAAGTGTTTTACAGTTCTTGGGACTTCAATTTGAAATTCCCATCTTTCCAGTGTAACTATAATATTTCTACTTAAACAAGAAAAAATAGGCAACACTGTATCTACCTACTGTTGAGATACATTAGTCTTTTCCAAAGAGTGAAAGCCTTTAACATGAATGTAGTAATGACCCCTCCCTTTCCGCCTCCACTGATGAACTAGTAGCACCTGTTAGGGCCTCCACCGTGACTATGAACACACACACACACACACACACACACACACACACACACACACACATGCGACGCTCATTCATACATTCCACCCTCAGCTTATGCACTCACCCACCACACCCTGCATTCATCTTTTATAAATAGTCATTATTATTAATCTCTTGTAAAAACACTTAATTGGGACTTTAACCTGACTTGTGTCTATTCCTTGTGTCAGTTTGTGACAAATAACAAGGATTATACTGAACGCACCTGTAAAAACAAACAAATCTGATTTTCCTTGATGGTGAAATGGCCTCCTGTTTGTTTTACAGGATTTAGTGTCTGAAAACATAACTGACTAGTTTTTCGCACAATCCGTTTCTGTTACTCCACAGAACCATTAAAGGGACAGATCAAAATCAAAATACATATTTTTCCTCTTACCTGTAGTGCTATTTATCAATCTAGATTGTTTCGGTGTGAGTTGCTGAGTGCTGAAGATATTGCCCATAGAGATGTCTGCCTTCTCTTGAATATAATGGAAGTAGATGGCATTTGTCTAATGGTGCTTGAAGCACCAAAAAAATACATTTGAAAAACTCAAAAGCGATGTCTCTTTGCTGAAATCATGACCCGGTTACTCAAGATAATTTCCTACATCCACCAACAGTACCTTGTACAAAAGGAAGCATCTTCTCATGGAGGGGCACGACCTTGTGGCAGTGCGAGATGTAAACATTTATGGTGTCCTCCTCAGCTGAGCCGTAGCGTTAGCTAGCTCAGTGGTGCTAAGTGAGCTACATGTATCAGTCTTCTGCAAAGAGACATTGCTGTAGAGTTTTTCAAATGTATTTTTTGAGCACCACAAGCTGAGCGCCATCAAGTTACATTGTATAAGAGAGAAGGCAGACATCTCTATGGCCGATATCACCAACACTCTGCAACTCACACCAAAACAATTCTGTAAGAAAATCTGTAATTTTGGTTTTGTGGAGTAACAGGTACAGGTACAGAAACTAGTCATTCATAGTTTCAGTCACTAAATCTTCCAAAACAGAAAACTAGTAGTTTCGCCTTCAAGGAAAATGAGGTTGAAACATTCTTGATTTTTTACTGTTGATTTTGGGGTGAATTGTCCTGCTGACAGTTTTTAAATGGTCAAAATATGTTTTGCTGCTGACCCCCCATCCTCACCAGTGCATTTCTGACCTTATATGTTAGTACTCCTGTCTGCTTCTCCAAACTGGGATGTGTCTCGAAACCAAGACAATCTGCATAGCTAAGTAAGTATGACATTTGTGTGAACCCTTTGTACCCTTGTGTACCCTTCAAAGTGTGTATCCTGCAGGAGTTATACAGCTCCAGTAGAGGGAGATATAGTACCATTTAGAGGTTGTCCACACACCTGGGGAACAATCCCCAACAGCAGAGATGATGTTGACATGTGATGTCACTGTGTTTGGATCCACATGCTGACATAATCAGTCCTGCCCTGTTGGCTCTGCGCCTATTTTGTCTCATAGAAAGAAACACTTCCAGTCTGTGCGCAGTGTTTAAAGAGCCAGCTGCAGGTCTACGTGGACATGGACATAAAGTCCAGCTGCACATTGGATAGTTGATAACACATATGCAGAGACAATATGCCCAATCACATAATTCTGGTTACTCAATACTTGTGAATATCACTGAACACAGCACTAAAAGTTGAAGATCATCTGCATACATACATCAGTTTTTGCATGCCCTCACTGACCTCATTTTGCTCACAGTGATCCTATGGTATGTCTAAATGTTTCTGTTTGTTCTGCTGTTTATATGAAGGTGAAAACTGTTTTTCACATGTGTGTCCTACATATAATACAGTCTGTAATGACATACTGATTTGACTGATCAGATTTTTTATTGAGATGCAGACAGTGCAGAGCTTTATTCCACAGCAGCATGCCTCAGGACACGTACACTTGTGCTGTAAGGCTGTTGTCCCTGATGTGTTTAGTTTTTGCCCTTGTCCTTGAGCAGGTTGTTTATCCGAAGCGCACAATGAGCAGCTCCCTCAGCCCATGTCCTTGTCATACTGTCCTCTAATCACTCGAATCTGAAGTAAACTGTCCCACTACTTTATATCTTTCTCCCACAGATAAGAACACTGGAAAATTACTCTTCTCTCTCTCTGTCTGCCCATCTTCCCCCTGTTCCTCTCCCTCACACACACACACACTTGTTCGCAGTAACGCAATCAATGTCAACCATCGGATAAGCAGCAGTGTATCTGCTGATGGGAGAAGAAAGGCAGCTGCTCTACTGGTACTGTAACATGAGGGATCCAGTTACACTACCCGAGGAAGTTTATGAGTGTTCCCATGTGAAAAGATCAGGGCTGTTTTAAACCTCCTTATCAACTCCAACAAATTTGTCAGACAGTCACGGCATATTGGAGCACTGACAAAGGCTGTCTTTGTGGTCGGGCTTGGTTTTTCTACTCATCTGTTATGAAGATCTGCTTGTTTTTCAAAGCATCATTGGCCACCTTGAAGAGCGCAACGATGGCTCCGTGACCACACTGCGTCTCACAATCAGATCCCTAAATATATAGACAAAGACCATAGACTCTTGAGAGCAGAGACTTAACACTGTGTTTCTTGGCATCAACCAGCTTTATTGCCATATCCCAGCAAATCTTTATGTAGCCACGTACTGGCAGAAGCTATGATCCCAGTATAGAGGAGATAAGGCCATGATTTTGTACGCTCCTCCTAACTGCTTTTCATCATTTACTCTCCAAATCCAGTTAATCCAGGTGGTGCACAGACAGATTTACAGACACACCCCTAGAGCCAGAGAGGTAAACAGATAGGAGGATGTTTTTTTTTTAAAGTCCTCTGTGTTTCTGAATCAATGCACCATGTCTCTTTGAGCCTGCGGAAGTGCAGGTATTACAATGGCAAGTGCAAAAATAATAGTTCTCCTAACCTTCAACTTCACCCTTCAACAAGCTCCTTTATCTGATGAGCGTGCTCGTGCGCGGCCTGAGACACTGAGAGACGCTGAGAGATACTGTCAGATTTTCAATGCCGTCAAAACAGATGCTATCTGCCCTCTTCATGTCTAATTACCTGTTTACTCCAAGGGCCTAGAATGAATGGTGCTGTTGATAAGAGCGCACTTCAGTTTAAGGAAATCGTTAAGATTTGAGATTCATGTTTGATTCATTTTTTTTCTCCAGCTTCTACATTCTAAGATATGCCATACTATGTTCTGCACGTTTGAATAGGACAGTACCATCCAGGCTCATATCAGCCTCTAGATACGACAACTGAGTTGATGAAAACTCTCCACAGAAAGACTTAAGAGGTTAGAATGATCAGCACTTAAAAATATAAGGATGTGGAGAGAAACAGTGAGGAATAAGAAAAATAAGCTCCTGATAATCTGACACTTGTTGCCATAGCTATAAGACAAATCCCTATGAGGGCAGCTACTTCACAAAGTCAGACAGGTTACTGGCGTGACAGCTCTCAAGTCTCCCTTTATCAGTTGCATCAGTCCTCTGCTCACACTTTGGTTGTGTTACCCTTCCTAAAATATGTAAAGCCCTAAATCCTGCATGCCATCTTATCGGCACTGTTAGGTAGTGTACTGAGTCAGATCTGCATGCCAACCTCCATGAGACTCTAGGTTACTCACTTAGGCCTCATTGTTGCTATTCAGCTTTTATATAAATAGTTCTAAAGTTGCTCTAAGTATGTAAAAATACTAGAAATAGTTCAACATTTCTTTCCTATATAAAAAGTTTCTGGAGGCAGATCTACTCTTTCTCCCTCACAGAAATTCTGGATCTGGCCTTGCGATCCATTTGCCACTGCTGCTTGCTCTAATTTTAGCTTTCTGCTTTCTCCAGCACTGTCACAGCACTAAAACAAAGTGTGGAGATAGGTCTTGCTATGGGAGACTAGCCCTAGGTTGACTGGTGAAAGGGCAGTACGCATTATCAAGATGGTTTCCATTAATGTTCAAGGAAGCATCAGAGAGACTCAGCCTTTCATGTTTGAACCTCAGTCAGACCCAGACTTAAATAAGGAGACTGTTCTGCATTTACATCTGTGACAAGTAGATTGCATCAGAATGGTACGTGTGATTAACATTTCATATTTTTTTATATTGTTTGACAGTTTGTAGGCTAACTAGCATTAGCTATTTGGTGTGGTATCACAGTGAGTTCACACTGGTTTCAGTTTACACCTAGAAACACACTCTACCATGTTTGCTGTCAAAACTTTCAATATGCTAATGCAAACTCTGCTTTCTGTATCACAGATGGCACAATAAAGGTGGACAACATGACAGCTTCCCAAAAGTGAACCCAAAACATCTCAATCGCCCCCTGGTGGCTGGCTGCAGTACATCCTGCCCTCTCCATATTAGCCGATGGTACATGGGCCAAATAAAAGTACTCCACTATAAAAAGTTAAAGGTCGTGTCAAATAATATTTTCCCAATCACAGTGTTTGTCATTTTAAGTAGTTCTTATCATGTCAATGTGTTCAAGTGCTCATTTATCTGATTAGTTTAGTATTAGTTGGTTATTTGATGCAATAAAAAGGCTTTGACGTCATGATTGACAGCTGTGTGTGCCAGTCACTATGCTTGTGATCAGTGATGCTGCTCACGATTTTTTTGACGGCTGTATGGACAAGAAATCAATGCTATGGTGATTGCTACTGCATAGACTCTGGCTCCAAATGATGTCACTAGCGCAAGATGGCAGCGGCCGTGTCCAAGATATATTGGCTTCTTTTTTGTACAGTGGGAAGAATTAAAGACGCATTTATCTATCTTTATCTTTCTCTGTCTTTATATGCGGTCATTCCTCTGTACTGACAAGTCCGCTGACAAGTCAGCTAGAGGTTTCAGTTTCGTGCACAGACATCGCCCCCCTCAGTAAAGGAATGTAAAAACACATCTCTAGTGACAAACTTTGCACAGATACAAGTTACTCTAGTCCAGATCAGACAATTTAGGGGACATAAACATATGAAAAACATATTTTGAGTGGATGGGGACTTTAAGGAATTATTTTACACCCTACTGTGTGATCAACGACGCACACTTAACAATGGTGAAGTTACTGATTCAGAATGTGTGAAATGTTTTGTTAAAAAGGCCCACATCCTGCAATGCTTCAGATGTAAAATATTTATTTTTCATGTTCTAATAAAGACTGGAAGTCACGACTCTATAAACCCAATCTGGGTTTTGTTTTATATGTAAATGCTCTGAATAAAGATTTAATGGGTATGACTGGTTGGCTGTCAGATGACACAACATAGTGTGACAATGAGGCATGACTCCCTGTAGAATATCCTGCCAGACCCCATTCATAAACTCACAATCAAACTCCACTGACCCTGAAGGTTCAGCCTCAGGATTAAGGAGGCAGCGACCTCAGCTGTGGAGGGCAACTTACTTACAGGAAGCCATGCGATAACAAAAAGACACGCCATTTTATACTCAAGGCACGGATAATATCCGTGCATTCACTGATAACAAAGTGCATCTACCTGTGTGATACCTGTGGCAAGGAAGCTCAAGGACATGCCCTGTCTTATCCTGGCACACACCTGCAGATGCCCTTTAAGGTTAATGGCTGAAGTGCCATGTGACCAGATTTTACAGATTTTCTGAAGCAACAAGAAGAAGGTCAATGGGTGAGCATAACAAAGTTGCAAGTTGTGGTGCATTACAACTATGTGTACCAACACTTTGGTGGACTATGTATATTGCAACTCTGACAACATGAGTTTGCTTCTTTTTTTCTTTTTCTTTTTTAATTTGCTCAATAAAGCTATATGAAAAAGTTTTACATTTATAGATTAGACCCAAGTGAACAAACTGCATCAGAAATGTAAGTAATGTATACAGCTGACATGTACCCAAATCACTTTACAATAACTGAATGTCCCAACACTGGTGATGGACACAACAGGGTTGTTGTTGGAACTTTACCTTTGAACTTCTGCATCTGGTCACTTCATTATCTGACACTAGAGACTACTTGACATCTAAATCTGGACATATAAACGCAATTTAGTTTGCGACTGGATCACATTAGCTTATCACTCTAGTGCAGGGATGTCAAACATACGGCCCGGGGGCAAAAACCTTCCCGCCAGGCCCACTGGATGACTTTGCACACCTAATAGTGATGCACTTGTGAGGGCTAAGAGGTGTCAGGTTTCAGGAGCAAGTTAAACAGTGAGTAGTTTTCTTTATGTAAAATGCTGCCTCAGAGGCTTTTCCACCCTGATCAGAATACAGTTCTTTTTAACTTTAGTTTGGTGTGGTGATGCTGGGATTACTACACAGGAGTGGAAATGTATAGAAAAATGCACATGTAATGACAGCGAGTAGTGGACTGACTGAATGTGGAAAAACTGAAAACTATGGTTGAAATTTCACTTATTCTTCTGAAGGCATCACAGGCTGTTTGCCATCTGTTTTGTGAATGGATGAGTGTTTTTTGTTTTTTTTTTAAAATGTACTTCTTTAAACAAAAAAAGGGAAAATTTTTGTTTGTTATTTGTGGGATATTATGCAATGGTTTTACTGGTCTGGCCCACCTGCAATTGAATCGGACTGTATGTGGCCCATGAACTGAAATGAGTTTGACACCCCTGCGCTAGTTGTTTTAGCAGATATCTTGCAGCACATTTCACAGAGTATAATTCATAAATCTTGTTTTATTTTCACAAATAACCAACACTGACCACTAAGACTTTTCCTACAGTGTCAGATGGCATTTTGATTTCTAATCCATTCACCTTCTTTTACCCTCTGAGTGTCCCACAGTGGTAATCATGTTAACAAACAGGTTTTGTTATGACAATAATCACTCCACAATCAGCTCTATGCCTCAGTAGCACGAGCAAAACTGGCATCTTCTGATTGACCCTGATGTTTAAGACAACGCAGTCCGTCCGCAGATACACTTTAACGGCCTTAAAACTTACATTTAATGTCAAGATGTGTTATCACCTGGAGGTCAGGATGGTGAAGTGGTTACTCTGATGTATGACAATACTGGTTACTTAGTTTTAGACAGGTATGCTTCTCTCTGTGGTATCCTACTTTTCACTGCTTCCCCCAGATTTTGTTTTTTCATACAATATACTTATTGTTTGATTGCCACACTGAGTCATCTTAAGCTAAATATTCTGAAATGTCTCAGATAACAAAATGCAGTTTCTTAGTTTCATACAGCTCTCCTCATGATGTCACCTTCAGAAAGCTGAAGAGTGGTTTATCTCCATGTAATCAGGTCAGGGGCTCTTTAAAGAAATCAGATCTCATTCTTTGGCCCTCATTTACAATATCGCCCTCATCTCTGCCTCGTCTTATCTTCTGTGTAGCTTTACAGTATTATCAGAATTTAACTCCACACAGATAGTGTGTGATTTCAGTGTACAAGACTGAAATTGTCCATATTATAGTGTTACACATACCATTTACACAGTGAACTGCAAATAGTTGTTGCATACATAGGTTGTATTCCTCTGCAGATTATATGCCACCATTATCATTTAACAACTTCAGACAACCTGAGCTACCGGTCTGTTTGCTGAAAACTAGCTGAAAGTGTGACTACAGTCAGGTAATGTATTTTCTGTATTTTCTGTATTTTCTTTTAACACACTCAGATTTTAAAGGAAAGTAAAATGTGTCAACATTCATTTAATTATGAATTTATCCACAACATCAGTAATCAAATGCTTCATTGTGCAAACCCACATTGTGTCCATAACCACAAGATGTATGATATTGTATAACATCTGTTTTCTTAAAGTAAAATACAGGATGTGTGTATGAACAAAATCATTTCAGATGGTACACTGGTTAATGTAACACATGGGTTCAAAATCAACATGAAAAAAGCAAAGAATCAACTCTGGCAGTGAACATAGAGCCTAAATATCAGGGATACCAAACATAAGTTTATGATTACAAATCATAGCTTCACACATCATTTCAGTTTCACCATAATGTTGGCCCCCAAGGGCCACTGTAGTCCCACAGGTAGGGTCTGTACTGGTAAGCTTTGCAGAAAGAGGTCATTAGTGATGACCGGACCAGGTCTTCTCTCAGGCCCAGTCCTTCAGCTTTGCACTCTGATGTTTGCTGCTTTCGTTTCGTCTTGTACCTCCGGTTCTGAAACCAGATTTTCACCTGGGTCTCAGTTAGTCTTAAGGTGCTGGCCAGGTGAGCCCTCTCTGGGGCTGACAGGTATTTCTGGTAGTTAAATTTCTTCTCCAGTTCGAGCACTTGGAGGTGTGTAAACGCAGCTCTGGAGCGCTTCTGTTTCCCAGTGGAGGAGAAGCTACTGGATTCTTTGGTGCTGGGACAGGATGTGTCCAGAGGTTCTGTAAAGTACAGATGTGGACAAGTCATTAAGAGAAAAAACTACCCTTTAACAGGTAATACAGAGTAGTGTGCATGACAGGCTGCAAAGGAAAACAACCACCAAAAAAAAAAAAAAACACCTCTAAGAAAAACATTCTTGATATACTTTCTATAAAAAAATAACCACAATTTCACATGATACAGACCTATAATTTAAAGATCCATTCCATCTTCTAAAACATTACTCTGCAAATCCAAGTCAACAAACATCTATCCACTAACTTCTTGCTTTTGAAAGCTTGCAGGCGCTCACCTGTCTGCACATCAAATGCTGTCTCCTGTGGGCAAAGTTGCTCTGACAACTTCTCAGATCCTTCTTTCCATCTTTCCATCTTCTGTGAGCAGCATTTAGCATTGAGCCTTGCACTGTCCTTCATGGAGAGTATGTCATCTATGAGGAATGAGGTCAGAGGTTTGACTGAGTCAGACATCTCCATCCAGTAATCCACAAATCGGAGTCCTCTCAGTGGCAGAGGGATACAGCAGTGTGTCTCTTCACACACTCACACAGGCTGAATTTATACAAGAGCAGGGGCGGGTTTACTGCGACTACACCGGCAAGTGAAGTAGGCGGGACAAGTAGAGCCAACTACTCTACTACTGTCATCATTAACATTCATTTGTTTGCTTCTTTAAATCATCATGATGGGAATTTCTGGGCTCAAACAATAATAATGTCTTATCAAAAAGACATTTTTTAATGTGATATTTCAATAATTCTGACATGCCCATCAAAAGAAAAACAAACATCTGTTGTAAAATGCAGTTTGTGTACTTTTAAGCTACACGATATGCTTATTTTATCATATATGATTGTAGTCCATTTTTGATAAAGATTTTATCTAATATCACACGCTAGTTGTCACTTGATAAAGTGTGCCTAAACTAAGACAGCCTAGTAAAAATAGCTCTGCAATAATTCAAATTAAGGGGCATATTAGAGGCTGTGGTTTGTGGTGCTATTGTACAGACAATATTTATGAATACACTCATTATATTGCATTATACAGAGAGGTGTCTCTATTATTTTGTGTATCCTTTAAATAAATAAGATATAAGAATATTAGAGAATTCTCTCTGTATAATGAAAAGTGTACGAGTGTATTTTATAGGCTGCTATATGTTTTGTGTATTGCCGTTAAATCCCACATTTTGTACATTGTATGATCTATTTACACAATATTTATGCGAAACGAAGCTAGTGAACTAGTATCAGATTGGCAAATAGTTTGTTCATAGAGAGTATTTACTTTGAAAAGTATTTGATGAGTCTTTCTTTTTATTATTGGAGTGTATGGTGGATAATCTCTCTTAAATTAATCGTCAAAGTAGGTAAATGGATGTATGTCTTAAGCTTTATGCCCCCATCAATTATCTGCTGCTGCACGGACACAGTAGTAGGAGGGAGAGGGGGTCAGAGTGGGTGGTCGTACCTACTGGAGCACTAATGACTTCGACACATTTAGGCCGGCTCCTGAAACAGACACAGTAATTGCTCGGTGCTTGTTTATTTGTTGTTCTCTGTGGATCAGCCTGACTTTCTCCAAGAGAATGAGACATTTACTAGCAGTGTCTGTGTCCCTCTGGGAGTTCGTGCTTCATTCGTAAATGCATAACTGCAGGTTTGATAAACATAATCCCTTCCGTGGCCCCTGGCCCCGCTGACTCCTCCAGCTTCTACGGCACCAACCACACACTGAGCAGTCAGCGACACCACAATGTCACACTGATGAGTGCTTCCATTACATTGCTTTGATCTGATGAAAGTGCAACAATTAAACTTTCTGTTATCATCTTTTCATTAATGTGCAACATGAATACATAAAGTGTGTAAAGTTGAGCGTGACCTGTACCTGTCCTGTGAAACATCATTTGTAAAAGCCATACTGAGGCTCCTCTTAAGCATTAGCCATTGTCTTGTCAACACAGTATTAAGATCATCAGTGTGATATGTTTCACCTTGAATTCTTTGTCTGCGACCATCTGTCTGCAAAACTGTGTTGAATTGTAAGCACAGAAAGCTTTCATCCCTCTGTCTAGCAAGGTTTTGATTTCCATTTTTAAAACCTGTTTGTGTATTTGTTTTATCATATAGTGCTAAATGTAGAGCAATATATAGATAGAGGGTTTCTAGCTTCAATGACATAAGGCAGCTACAGTGGGACCCAGTGCACTCTATTATGACACTACTTATAAAACACTAACACACCAGGCTGTTCTTATGCACTGTTTGTATATATACCTATGATAAATAACACACAGGAACTCGTATACAACCCACTTCATCGGGAAGGCTATAATCACTCAATGGGAGTAGAGAAAGAGGTAGTTTAAGGAGCGAATATCTGCGTAAGGAGGCAGGTTGGGGTGGTTGTTGGGTCAAACAAACACTGAACTTTGCCCCAGGAGACCAGTGTTCTTGTCCCATTTGACACCAAGTGAACTTTGAGCTGTTTTAAGGTATCACCATGTTTCTTTTCCTAAACCTAACCTACGTAAATTACATACATATTGTAAGTACATAACATGACCACAGACAACCATGTTTCGTTTCCTCTATGTAACCTATGTAACTGTACTTGTCTAAACCGGACCTATGTAACCTTACGTTAAGTATGTAACTTTGCATTAAGTGCATTTACATGATGATACCACTCATGAGGCGCTAATTCATAGGATATCATACAAACCATTGTATGAAGATACATTGCACACACAGACACCCTAAACTAGCTGCCGTATATCGTATCATCTTGTCACATGATCAAATAGAGACTTGACATTGGACACCATCAGCATACATATAAAACAAAAATATAAAATAAGGAATCATTCATTTAATTGAGTAGTTTTTTTACATTTTTTTATAGTTTGTGTAGAATCATAATTTTGTTACTGGCTGCTTATATTTTAATTCGAGTTCTTCATATAGGCCTGTTACTGGGGTGGCAATCTGAATCACTCACAATTTCCTGTCCAACACATTGTTGGAGGGTCATCTCTCTTCACGTCTCCCCCTCTCGATCCCATGGGCCCTATAGTGCAACAGCAGTGTCTGCATTGTCTGTATTTACGCCCCTGTCCAGCTTCTAAATGTTGGTAACTTTCTGAATCCACTGGAAACTCAGAGGCTTATTCTTCAAAAATACGTCAGACAAATGTTTGGTTGTCATCAAAAGTTTATTCACTTAGCTGAATAAGAAGCCAGAAGCAGTCAGCTCAGTGACAAGAGCATAAACAAAGCCAGCAGTGAGAGTGACTCCACCAGCTATGCTGTCATCCTCTTCCTTTATCCTGACACAAACCACATGATTGCTCTTAGTTCATAACAATGACGTTTCCTTCCTATTTATTGTCTCCTGAGCCTTCAGTGCGCAGATACTTGGCTGCATAGCTGTGCATAGATGTGGCACCTCTGACCTTTTAACCCAGGAAGGCATTTGTCTTCCACAGTACGAAGTATGTGGTGACGATGTTTTCTTTGAGCCACCGAAAGTTGTTGTGCCATCAATCTTCTGTTGTGTTCCTGCTGTGTCTTTGTCTGAGATGACGAGCAGCTAGACTTTGTTGTAACTGTAGAATTGTCAGTTTTATCTCCTCAGCATCAGTTTTGTGTTATACTGTAACCTGCACCTGGGTTATTGCACAAGTTCTTTGCTCCATGTATTGTGCGACACAACAAATGTCATCAGACTGAACAGGTCAATCAGAGGTTTACAGACAAACCTCTATTATAACTAATAATCTGTAAATCTTTCTTCTGTCTAAATCTTTTTATTACATTTTTCTTAACCCTGATAGTGTCTTCATTTCTGTCTAAACCCCAGTTTAATCTGTATAAACTTTTATAGAGATACTCACAGCCTGTTTGTGTGATATCATGTTGGCACTGATGAGTTTTTGTCATGTGAAACTGATGTGAAAGTCTTCCACTAGAGGGAGCTTTAAAGCCAAACATCAAGTCCTCACAAAGTAACAAAGCCTGCAGCCACTTCAAACTACAGGATCAACCACACAATGAACTATTTTACCACAGGATTAGTCTGAAGGGAGTCTGATTATGCACCGTCAATAGTCATCTTTTATCCTCCTGTAGCTCATAGTGGTTTGGACAGAGGAGTTCTGATCCTGAGTCTTTGAATCATCTCAGCACCAATCATAAACACCAGATTATCAGACTGGCATTTCAAGGCTATTACATAGCCAGAGACATGTCTGCCCTTTTTAAAGCTGATGTAACTATGGTACAGCATGACTTAAAACCTTTTTGAGTAAACCATAATGGGTCTTTTTACTGATGGCCAGACTCACGTCATCCTCTGACCCTCATCATCACCGCAGTGTAATCAAGCATCTTTATTCTGCTTTCATTCATAGAGCTCTCTCTGTATCTTTCTCTCTCACACACATACACACACACACACACACACACACACACACACACACACACACACACACACACACACACAACCTGTATGGGTGTGTGTGTGTTTCTGTATTACGCATGGAGACATGAATCTATTTAAACAATCACACTGTGGGGAATCACCTTCCTTTTGGGGACAGAAGTTGCCATATCCTATGTCATTAAACTTTAGGGTGAAGACTTGGGTTAGGTTTAGGATAAGGTTAGGTATAGGTCAAGGTTAGGGTTAGGCAAGTAGTAGATAGGGTAAGTCTCCAGGAAATGAATGCAAGTCAAACTAATGTCTTCTGAAGTGGTGGAAACACGACAGATATTTTTTCTCTCTCAGCCCAATTTCTGCCCCATTAGCACCAGTTGCCCCCAATATTTGTATCATCATGTCAATATCTGAACAAATCCCAAGACTGTATCAAATATCACACAGTGAAACTGCTTATTATTAACTATTTTAAAATAGTTTATGTGCAATAGTCTACCACTGTCTACTTTTTTTTTATCATATTGCCTGTTTTTATGACTGTTCTCTACAGATTGGTGTTTGTAAGATTATGCAATTAATCATTTTTATTTATCTATTTATTGCATTGTTTGTATATTTGTGACCGAAGTTGTAAGTGACGTGAGGTATTTCTTACTTTTTAAAAAGTGTCAGACAAAACTGATCACATTTAAAACCATGGATTTTGCTAAACATGCCTACCATTAACATTACTGCTGCAAAGACTTCTTTTTCACACACACACACACACACACACACACAGAGGCATTATCTGATCTCCTGAAGTGTCTCTGGTCTCCTCTCTGTCTACAACTTCATCCTTATCTTATGCAGAGCTGCTCCTTCAGCTCCTCTCTCCTCCTGGAGGTGTTTCTCCTCCTCGGGCGCTTTAGCTCAGACTCCATGTCAATTAAAAGTGACAAACTGACACACATTCAATCCATTCACTCATTATCTCATAATTATATATTGTAATTACAAACGTTGGAGCATGTGTGCTGCATAAGCCATACAAGATTTATTATACTTTTCAAATATGTCACTAAAAAAATCTTTGTTTTACTGTGAGTTTCTGATGTGATATTCTAAATCCATCCACATTGCCATCTTTTGTATGTTGCCTTACAATATATTAACCACAAAGTTTAACAGCTAATCAACAATTAAATGAAACTGGGAGCTATGTTTTTGTAGTGCAAGTGAAGTGAGTCCTATCAGCGCCCCATCAGTGAGTGACAGGTCAGACTGGAACTGTTTCCCAGTCTGACTGAAAGTTTGAAGAAGTTAAAGAGCCACTCTGTCTGCGGGTTTGTTTACCGAGCAGAGCTCCGGGACAGGACAAGCTCTCCATCCTTATCAGTGGATTTGTGAATGGGACAATAATGAGGTCATTTTGATAGAGCAGCCCTGTCAGGTCAGATGTCACCTCGTCCATTAGCTCTCTGATGGCTCTGCGTGATAAAGCTGCGCAGACGACAGCTCCATAAGCGATCACTGCAGGCTATCTGATCAGGTATGTGTGGATTTAATTGGATCTTAAGAGGACCATCACATTTTATAACAGGGAGAGGTGACACATTTGGTGTGTGGTTTTTGTAATTAGAGCTTATATATATGAATGATTTTAAAACGCGCCTTAGATTATTTTGTATTATTTTGTTTTTTACAATCGGTCTTTGTAAAAATTGAACTGTAAATTTAATGTTTTTGACGCAGAGACAGGATGATAATTTAAAAAAAAACCTGTGTAAAAACTAGGCTACATTTCAACATAATAACTGTCAGCGAAAGAAAATGATAATTTTTGCTCATGGAAGAAAATAATATAAACGCATTTTGTGGTTGACATGTAAAATAACCCGATAGCCATATACAATTGTACATCCTTAATTCAGAATTTCAAATTTAAGTGTGTCAAATTTAATCCACGAAAAATATAAAATGATATTAAAAACAGTGAGAATTAAACAAACTGCTGATTTTTAATTTTCTTTTTTATCAAGAGAAATCTGCAAACAAATACAATTCCTTTTCCAAAATATACCACAAATCTTTGATATAATTCAGACTATTTTCTTGTTTTAATCACCAGCCTCTTACACCCTGTAACGAAGCCTGAAAGTGTCCGTGGTTGAGATGTCCCTCACTGCTAACCGTTAAATCAACCAGCTGGTTATTACACATCTGTGCAGCTGACGGTGACACACTGTGATAACTGCAGCCATACATGCTGCTGTTTCCGTATGCAAACACAGAATTAAAATGTCCAAGAGTCACATTATAAGGTGCTGAGTGGGACCCTGCGCTGCACAGCTTCCCGTCCCGCACCAGCACCGGCACCGCCACCCTCCTGGGTGCAGGTGGATACCCCGCCAGCTCCAGAGACTTGTCCTGCCTCTGCCGCTTGCATTTATACCTCCTGTTCTGGAACCAGATTTTGACCTGTGTGGAGGTGAGTTTGAGGATGTGGGCCAGCTGCTCTCTCTCCGGGGCGGACAGGTAGCGCTGCTGTCTGAAGCGCCTCTCCAGCTCGGACACTTGGGACTGGGAGAAGAGGACCCGGGGCTTCCGGCGCAGCCTGGCTCTGCTTTTGGAGTTTTTGTCACAGCCAGGAGAGCTGTCAACACCGCTTATCTCTACACAGGAGTAAAAAAACAAAACAAAACAGTCAGACAAACAAAAATTTAATACAACTTGAATAATTTGGCTCAAAAGAAACGACGCATTTCATCCATTTAAACTATTAAAAAATCCTAAGTACGTAATACTGTATTTAAAATTTAAATCCTATTGATGGAGCTGGATGTCATGTTTATCTCTCCAATTTTTACTTCTTTTTTCTTATTTAAATATACATTATTTAGATTATTTTGCAGTATATTTTATAATATAGGCTATTCAGATATTTTTGCTTTAACATTAAAAAGAAAAAAAACTACATAGTTTACTTTATATTTCTGCCACTTGTTTGAAGAAAAGAAGAAAAGTAAAATGAAAAACAACAACAAAAAACACTGGATGATATTAAAATTATAATTATTCTGACGTTATGAAGACGATATTTTCACTAGATTTTTAAAAATAAATTAATAAATACACAGTACAAAGTTTTCTCTGAGTTAAAATTTGATCTCTCAGGTAATAAAGGTCCAGGGAAAGTTGTAGTAAAATAAACACTCCTGAGCCATTTTTCTCTTTATAATAAAAAAAAAAAAAAAGTCACCATCACTGCCTCCTCATATCCTCCAAAATTTAGTTGATCCCTTTTGGATGTTGGTGGGAAAATATTGCAAATATGTGAGCTCCACCATTTGTATTTTATAAACAGATTTTTTTTTTATTTGAGATTTTAAGGAAAAGAAAAACGTGACAGGTCGTGGTGGGACAGGTTTTATCCCTGCTATCACGCGCTCAAGGCCCCACTCCATCAGTCGGCCTAATCCTGACCAACCAGCAACAGCCTGTATACACCTGAAGTGACTGATTATCATGTATATTTATCTCACCCTGCTCATTTATTTCCTCTTCTGCTGCTGAGCTGTGAATATCGAGCTTCTCCTGCGTCCCCGAGACGCACGGCTCCGGCTGACAGTCATAAACGTACCCGGTCCTGGACGCAGCGTGCACGTGCTGATAATGCATCGGAACAACCTGATCAGTCATCAAGAAATCGTTGTCAAAGTCATTGTGGTGCTCCAGCTTCAAAATATCCTTCACTGAAAAAGGCGTCGTGGTAGTTGAACTGGGATGCATCCCAACTCTTTTAGCTGCTGTGGGTTAGTTAGATCCTTTATTACGCGCTGGGCTGGAGCTGCTGGTGATGCTGCAGGACGTGTCTCTGGACTGACTGATAGGTGAGGGCATGGGGAGACTTAAATCATTCAGGGGTCCGGCTTAAGAGCAAGGTAGAGACAGATATGTCACCCCTCTCCAAAACAGTGACCAACACCCAGCCTGCGCGCACAGCTCCTTTTCTTCTCACCTTACACCTCACATCATCTCTCTGCGTGAGACGGTGTAGCTAAGAGGGTTAATTAAGAAGTAAGTTGACGGTGTGAGGGTTTTTAATTACATTTCTGAATTCCTACAAAAATATTAGTTATATTATTATAGTTATCAGCCTAACTTTTTTCTTTAAAAATGTAATTACTTTGACAGGAAATGTGGTGTTTACTGAAAAATGTTTATTTTTTAAAAGTTAAATCATTAAATTTTTAATACATTGAATAACAAAACTCACTTTTTTAATGGATTTAAGACACACTGACAATCAATGTGTTAAAAACAGACACTTTTGCATCACTTAAAACAAGTGAAACTGCTCCAGATTAATTAACCAGTTTTTAAAGGGTGTCATTTATTCAGTGCGCACCCAAACCACGCTTCTGGTCAGCCAAGTTAAGCCACTTAATCCGCACACAGGTCCTCCGGGGTTGAGTGATCTTAGGTGATGTCGAACAGCTTTACCATCAACATTGTTTTCCTGCCGCGTTATTAGTCTTCTCAGGCCACAACAAACAGTAACATTATACCTGATGTTGTGGAAGTGGAGAGGCGGCGGCGCCAGCCTGCGATGCTTGACTGAGGCCGAGACGCGCGTCCGCACAGACAGGAACAAGGACAGACACGGCCTGTCCCACTGGGGGACGCGGAGATGAAGGACACTTAAAGGCCTGAGAAGGAGCTTTTTTAAAGCAATGGCTGAAATTATTGATCGGTTCTTTATTTAGAACAGTTGGAGTAATAACAAATAAAAACTTAAGAGTAAGGCTATAAGACACAAGCTTATGCAGAACTCAGAATGGTTTGTTGCATAGGTGTCATGATTCATGTTTCTTCTTATTTAGAAATTATCAAATCACCATGACTTAATGGAACTAGTTAACACTTTAATGGATAATCAATTAATGGATGTTATCTCACAGCAATGTGTACATTTGCATTGTTGTTTTACTTAAGTACTCAGACTTACAACCTTGGACCCACTGGTTAGTTTTAAGTCCAGTCTGCTGACTCATTGCATCATTGCATCACTGCCACCTGCTGAGTTACCATCTTCCACAACTAACAAACATTCCAGAAGAGTTAGGCTAATTTCCTAAACCAGTTCGATCTGTTAAGTTTGGGTGGAGCTGTGCTGTCAGTTTGCTTAGGTCAGAGAAATAAGAAAATAAATGTTCAGCCTGGTTTGTTATAACAAAGCAGGCAATGAACCATGCTAGCATAACTATTCCTCTCATATCAGAGTCATGTATACTGGGAGATTTGCACAATTTCAATAGTTTCATTAAAGGATAAAAAGGTCTTCCTCTCGTCATGTATGGCCACAAAGAAGGTAATCATGAATAATTGGATTTGCTCAAAAGCACCACCTCAGAAATAATGCATCGCTGAAGCAATAGAAACTATAAACTTGGGAAAAGTAGCTTTCAGGTTGCAAAATAATGAGACAGAATATGTTGAAACATGGGCACCAGTGGAAAATTATTTAATGTCAATATTATATGTATATATGTGTGTATGAGTAACGCTATTTGTTTTTCTCTCTTAAACCTCTTACTTGGTTTTGCTGACATGAACTAAAAACTGATGACTTTCCTTTGTTGGTGCTGTTCTATAAATCAGAGACTTGCTTGTTGTTTGTACTGTGGGATGAAGTGCAAAGAGAGGAGAAGGATTATGGTGGTGTTTGAGACCAATACTGCTCGAGGAGTACTTTGATTCAGGAAGGAGGATGAGAGTGGTTTGGATGTGGAGGTTGGACTCGAAGGGGATTAGAGATGCTGGGATTTTTTAAAAATGTTTTTGTTGTCCAATTTGTATGTCCTTTGTTTGTACTTTGTCTGTCAATTATGAATAAATGTTAAAAAAAAATGACATTTAAAAAAAAAAAGAAAAAGAAAAGAAATGTTCCCACTTTTACAAAACAGCCATCCACACAGTCCCAGGTGAAACACACAGATGTATGTGAAGCATTGGGGAGCTGTCTGAAACAAATTCAACCCCGCTGCTGTGTCCTCAGAGGCTGTTTAAACTACACCTGTAGCAGTGGAGGAAGATCTCAGATCTTTCATTTAGGTGAAAGAAGCAATACTACAGAACAGAAATATTCTGTTGAGTCCTGCATTCAAAATCTTACTTAAAGGACCAATGTGTAGGATTTAGTGCTATCTAGCCGTGAGGTTGCAGATTACAACCAAGTGAATACCTCCCTCACCCCTTTCCAAGCGTGTGTGAGAACCTTTGGTGCCCTTCAGGTAACACAAAAACACGAAAGGCCCTCTCTAGAGCCAGTGTTTGGTTTGTTCAGTCTGAAGCTTGAAATGTGTTTTTTGTGTGTGTGTCTGTGTGTGTGTGTGTGTGTGTGTGTGTGTATGCATGCACCAGGCATTTCTAATAATACATCTAATAATTTAATAAATCTAATAATACATCCATGCATGGGTGGATTAGGAGACAATGGGCCCATGGGCACAGATATGCAAAAGGTGCCACCACCTCACCTACACAGGACACACACAGAATTCGTGGTAGTTTTGCTTCTTTTGTTGTTCTTGTCCTGTTGTTATGCATCTCTTTGTGGTTTTGTGTCTCTTTGAGATAATTTTGCTTTTTTGTTGTTGTTGTTGTTGTTGTTTTGTGTCTCTTCGTAATCATTTTGTATCTTTGTATCTTTATGTTTGTTTTGCCCCTTCTTGTAGCTATTTGGTGTCTCTGCAGTTCCTTTGCATCTCTTTGTGTCTCTCCCTGGTTGGTATGTGTTAACTTGAGTGACATTTTGCAGATGAAGACCAGGAGGCCCCTGACACTTTAGACCCCTGGGCGTGTGCCCTATAGGCCGGTTCAGTAATTCATTATGCATCTGTGATATAACTACGAAGAGCTCATTCTAAGCTAATGAAAACACAACAATTAGTTTCAGGTGACTGTACACTAATGAAAACATTGTTATGAGTTTTATATTTAATTTCTGCCAGTGTATCCCCTGAACCCTAATCACTAGACCTTTGAGGAAAAGTAGTGAAGTATTGACATCAAATTATACTTTAAATACCAAAAGTAAAAATACACATTATGCAGAATGGTTCATTTCAAAATTATAGCATATTATATTATTGGATTATAATTACTGATTCATTGATGTGTTCATTATGTTGCAGGTGGAAAATGTGGAGCTCATTTTAATTACTTTATATACAGCTTCTGAAATTTCACCAGGGTATCAATTAAGTCTCATCTTAACCTGTTATAGGTAACATCTTAATTTATTAGGTGTTTCATATTTTGTATTGTGTCAAATAAATGTAGTAGAGTAAAATGTAAAATATTAACCTCTGAAATGCAGTGGAGTGAAAATAGAAAATAACATAAAATAGAAATACCTAAATAAAGAACAAGTGACTCAAAATTGCACTCAAGCACATTACTTGAGTAAATGTACTTAGTTACTTTCTTTAATTAACCCGCGGTTTTATCTACAGTACAGATGTATACTGGTAAACCCACAAGCTGTGTCCTGTATCACCTATGTGCCACTAGAGGTCACTGTTTCTGAGGTTTAACTTAGACCTTCTGCAGATGGTCTTACAGAGGCGTAAGGCCTCTCTGTAACTGTGTGTGTGGAACCTGTTGCTCCTCTTGCTTCTGGATCACCATGTGATGAAACATTTATCAAAGGAACATGAACAATTATTCTCTAAATAACAGCAAGAATAGAAGAGAAAGACAAAGACAGTAGTCAGTATCACTCCCAACAGGGTCACCAGACATTTGGCAAAATAACCACTTGATTTTAGCAAGTAGTAGTGTGAGCAGGCCAACTTACTCATACAGCAAGTGAAAAACTAAGCTGCTAACCAGTCTGACCGCAGCCAGCACATATATAGCCTGCTGCGGTGGCTGCTGCTTCTCTGGCCATGGCAAAAAAAACAGCAAACATGACTGCTCACCCTGCAGCAAGGAAAGTGAACAGACCTGCTCTGGCCATGGCAAACACAGTCCATGGTGGAAACAACCCATATTCCTGCCTGCTTAGATGGTGGAAACAAGTGAAACACCTGTCACCCTGGCAAAAACAGCACTGATGTCTGCCTGTTCTGTAACATCACAGAGACAGCTCCTGTTCCTCACACTGTGAAGCAGTCATCTGCCTAAGAGCAGTAGGTTTGGAGAGAGACTCATCCTCCAGCAACTGCCCAAAAAACAAAGCCAACAAAACAGCAGCCATATCTGGTGAGTAAGTGATGGCACCTCCTGCTAACATCACAGCAACATCTGCTTTAGTCATAATAAAGAGCAACAGCAATATCTGCTCTCATCAAGCTGTAAGCTGTGGAAGCTGCTGGTCTCCACATATCTCCACCGCAGCAGCAATTCCTGATGTGTGAGGCTCACTGCTGACCTCTGCTGGTCAGGTTGCCCCGATGAGAGTTTTGTATTCCCCTAACAGTGCAGCGAAATTAAATTAAATTAAATTATTTCTTTTTTTTTAATTTATTTTATTTTACTTTTATTTAAAAATTACACTATTGTACTATTATTATACTATTTTATTATTACATATTTTTTACTTCTATTTTTATACTCTTTTTTTCTATTTTATTCTTTGTGTAGTTTCCCCCTATCTAAATACAGATTCTAAGGATGGATGGTGTCATGTTGTTCAGATTATAAAGCCCTCTGCGACAAATCTGTGATGTTTAACTATATAAAATTGACTTGATTTGAGACCCCTGATGTGCTGGTAGCCCAGTGAAGTTAAGTCCCATCATAACTGTAATATTTGAACCCATCTCTAAGTTTTTATCAGTGCTCAAAAGTGCCAGTGTCCCG